GGGCGGGTATAATGCTATCTCCACTTTCGTATTAGACCCCCCTTTTTGTAATGCATTCAAAATTAGACCCCCCTTAGTGCTGAAAGCTCAAATTCCACGAAACTGTAGCGAGACACAGCATATTAGGGTAGTGAAATTTACTGATTTGACTGGATTACTGACCACGTGCCGGTCTCGCGTCAGCGCGTGGTCAATTTTCTCATGACGCGATATCATAATGGTGACATGTGATGTCATAAAAGAGTGTTTGACATGACTTAAAAAAAAAATATATATATATATATATATATATATACATATATATATGGTGGTGGGCTGGCGATTCTTTCCGTGGTTGAGGTCGCCCGAAGTCGCAGAATAGGCTTTTTAGGCTGGTTTGGTGATGTGACGAATCAACATGCATCACAAACCAACCTGTCACTTCGGTGATGTAAGGATTTACAAATCCTTACTAAGGCACTCGTTAGCAAGGCCATTCCGAGGGTCACGCGACGAACCTGTCTTGCCTATTTCGTCGCACCGAACCACCCCCGAGTCGCCTCCGCACCAATCGCAACCATCACCGAGCCATCATCGCCCGACCTCCCCGCCTAGCTAGGACTTCCCCTATTTAGGGCGCGTCCCCTCCCTCGATCGATCGCAAGATCGCCGTGAAAAACCAATCGGACACACTGATCGCAGGATTGGGGTGGGATTGGTAGGAGGTGACAGTCGCGGATCGATCCCGAGCCCTGGGTGACAGGATCGAAAATACAAGGGGGAAAAACCCTCGATCCATCAAAAGCCGAGATCGGTGTGGCCACTAAGGCACATCGATCGTCAACAGCGGAGGTGACAAGATCGTTGGGCACCATTTACTGTACATTCGTAAGCCATCTCGAAATCAGGTTACCGTGTCAATTGCGACACTGTACCGTCATCGCCCGGATATAAGACATATATGTCTTATCTCATACACAAAAAAAAATGCTTGGGTTATCTTGTATTTGGGGAGGTTTTGGGTGTCATAAGTCTTATAAATGGAAACTTTTTTAAACTACTTAAAAATATTTTCACACATCTTGAAAAGAGTTTCTCATTATGAGTGTGGATGTTGCGAAGGTGCCACTTCGGCAACCATTGTTCAGGGCGCCACGTCATGGAGAATACTTGCAGAGGCAAATTTGGTAGTACGTGAGTTAGCACGTGGCAGAATTCGCGTGTCGCAAGGGTAAAAATGTACGCGGTACTTCATTCTTCACTATAATATATTGCAGTTTCGATTATAAGACACATATGTCTTAGCTCGTACACACAAATAGGTGTCTTATAATGAGGCTAGCCTGTTTATAAGAGACACCCGTATAATAGACAACCCCTGTCTACTATTCAACACTGTCTTATATCCGGGTGATGACGGTAGGTGTCCCTCGATCGATCGAGGGCAGGATCGATCGAAGGAGGGGACGCGCCTTTAGTCTCGACACTTTCCTTAGATCGTGATTCAGTAATCAATCATTCTAGTTATTCGTTATTCTGCGCATTCTGTGTCAGAATGTAATATCCTTATATAATTGCATGTTTAGTGTAGTATCACCCATCTTAGGTGGTCTGCCTCCCTTCACCACCTTCCCTGTTCTATATATTGTTCTCTCATCCAATAGTGCAACCCCGCTTCTTTGGCCAACTATCTCTCTTCCCAAACCCTACCTCCTAGCTACTATTCTAGCACTCTGCAAGTTCATTCATAACAGGTGCAAATAACATGGTAACCAGCAGGCCTCACGTTTTCAGAGTAAATTTCTCTGTTTCTCTGAAAATCAGAGTCATTTTTGAAAGTAACTCTGTACCCGCTGGGTAATTTTTTTGGGACTTCCGATTTCTCTGATTTGTCAGAGTTATGCTGTAGTTTACTCTGAGGCCTCTGGGTTTTTTTTTCGGGTACCAAATTTACTCTGTATAGGGAATACCTGCCGGCCCCCCCTCCCCCGCCCCCCTCCCCTCCCCACCTCCCCCTGCGTTTAGCGGGTTTTCCCCGAATCGTCGAGATCATTCTCCTGATTTCTGTCGTGTGTTGGCGGCAATATGAGCACTGATTGGCTACCGTAGTTTGACAACTTTCCCAACCAGCGCACGATGCCAGCCAGTCCCCTCTCTCTTTATGTCTGAAGTGAACGTCGACGTTTCCCGACGAAACTTTGAGGGACGTCGAGGAATCCTGACGGTCGGAACGCTCAATCCGAGGGTTGAGATTCGCCAGCATTCCCCGACGAAACTGTACATCCGTCGACATTTCACTTCAGACACGCTCTTTGGGGGTGTCCGAAGTGAAACGTCGACATCCGTGGACATCCGTTTGGGGATGTCGGTAAATCCTGACGGTTGGAACTGTCGATCCGAGGGATGACATTTACCGACATCCAGCGACATCTATTGACGTTTCACTTCGGACACGCCCTTAGTCAGATTATCAGTGCCGCCAACACCTCACTCTGAAACATCGCAGTGAGGGGGGAAACGTGGGCGACGCGGAAATGCAAGTACAAAAGGCGTAACAAAAACCTATTAAGGTCATGGTACACCAAACTTAACTAACATCAGAGTAGAGAAAAATATTACTCTGACGTGCCTGGGTTTTTTTTTGAAAGTATAGGGTTACTCTGACAAATCAGAGTAAGGCGCAGGAACAACCCTAGATTTCAGAGTTGGGAAAAAAACTACTCTGGAAATCAGAGTACCTAAAATCCAAAAATAGGCCCTGGTAACCAGCCGTCAAGTGTTTTGCAGTTGACCACAATTTCCGGTACTTGAGATCCTGGCTATAATCAGTACAAAATACGTTAAGGCTGATAAAGAAGCACATGAGAAATGCCGAATCACCTTGTCAATCAAGGCTCCGATTGCATGGCCCCTCAAACAATGACCGACTACTGGAAACGCTACAGACTGACACTGATGTTTCAGTGTAAAAGGTGCAATCAGCAGTGCAAAAAAAGAAAAAAAAATCAAGTGTGCGTGCCCTGCAAGAATCAATTGGGGGGGCTAACCCTAAATGCAATACTCTGGTTCAGCATGTGCCTGTGAAGGTTGCGCAGGTCCCAACGCCGGTGATCCCACATAAGCTCCTCCCCATCCTTCCCTCACATAATAAGCACCCTCCATACTTCCCCAGCTCTCCGCCCTCCTCCTCCTGCCTCCCATTTTCCCATCTTTCCTCCTCGGCCGTGCGTCGCCCGTCACTCCCTCCTCCACTCGCCCACCGGTGTCAGCCTCACCGGTAACACCAGCAGCGCTTGTGCCACTGAGAGGGCTCAAGGGGCTCCTCCCAATGTGCGGGGCACGCCGCACATAAGCTCCTGTTGATCCCCCCCCAGCAGACGCCCGAGGGGAGCGAGCGGGTGAGGAACTAGCAGAGCCACGTGGGGAGGATTTTGGTGAGCTGCTGACCGACCCTGCTGGTGAGCTGCTCTTGCTGTTGCACTGCTCTCCTGCCCTCCGCACGCTGCTACTTCCTCTGCAGCTGCTGCCGCTGCCGCTGCCGTTCCCACTGCTGCCAGGCACATGATCGCTTTTAGGCAGGCTATGTCCGAAATGGAGGGCAGTTTGGTGAGCATGGCGGGTTGCTTGACTGGAGGACACGGAAGGGGAGCGAGGTTTGAGGGGATGGGAGGCTTGAAGGAGATGAGCTCTGGCTGGCAGCGCTTGTCTGTTGCGCCGACCTGCAGACATACCCTCCTCAGCACCACAGCTGCCTACTCTCCTTTCCTCCTCATCCTCATCCTCTTCCACATCCTCATCCTCATCCTCATCCTCCTCAGAGCTGCTCTCCATGCAGTTGGTGTCAACTCCATGCCTCATTCCCCCATAAAACCGGTCCGATGCGAGCCTTCCTGAAGGCGCAGCCGTGGGATCAGAGGAAGAGCGTGGGTACTGCAGGTGGGCAAGCACGCGGCTCAAGACAGTTGCTAGCGGCGTCCCATGGGAGTCATGCTTGCTGGACGCACTAGGTTGACAGGCTGAGGTGCTGTTGGTAGATTGGTGGTTCCAAGAACCGGTGGCAGCAGCGGCATTTGTTGCAGTGGGGGTGCATGTGCCGCTGCTGCTGCTGCTACAGCTGACGCGGCTGCAGTCGCTATTACTTCCCGGGTCACTGTCACTGTCACAAGGCTTGATACCAGCAGCAGCTCCAGCTCTCTGTGTGCTGCCGTGAGCAACATCAACCCTGACGGCACCACTGCTCCTGGGACCGCTCCTGCTGCCACTGCCACTGCCGCTGCCGCTGCCGCTGCTGCCGCTGTTGCCATTCACGCTCCTTCCAGCCTTCAGGTGCGGAAGGTGGGGCTTTGTAGGTGAGGAAAGATTCTGGGAAGCTGCAGCTTTGCTGTCAGGCGCGTGGATCGAACCAGGAAAAGGTGACCGGCTGGCAAGAGCATCGGCAGAAGCAGCACCAGCAACACCTGTAGGAGCAGCACGAGCAGCAGCAGAAACAGCAGCACCAGGGCCCGAATAATAACCAACACTGGCGGACCGAGGAAAGCAGTCGTTGGTGCGCGGCTGCCGCCCCCCCTGTAGCACGTGTTTGAGCAGCCCTTCCTGGAGCCCTTGGTGGGTTGTCCCAGCGCTGCTGCTGACACTGTGTGCAGCTGCAGCTTGCTCCCACTTGCTCCTGGCGCGCCCACTGATCATGAGCGAACCGCTCCTGCTGCTGCTGATCAGCAGTGTGCTCATTGGCCCTTCCGCAGGACCCAGCCTTGCCCGTGCTGCAGCGGAAGCAGCAGGCGCTGCAGCAGGGGTGACAGGGGCAGCAGCCGCACTGGCATGTGAGCCTGCAGTGGAAGAAGCAGCAGCAAGAGCAGCAGGAGCAGGAGCAGCAGGGATGTAGATACTGCTCGGGAGAGGTGTCTTGGTGAAGGTGGCGCTGCTGAAGGCAAGGGAATCAGAGCGGCTCCTTCTGTGCCTACTTCCGACAGCGCCAGCAGCAGCAGCAGCAGCGGCACCACCACCACCACCGGTAGCACCATTCACACCGGTAACACCAGAAGCAGCAGCGTGAAGGGGTGGTGGTGGTGGTGGAAACCCCGTATGAGCAGCCACTGCAAGAGGAGACGGTGTGGGGGGCTTGGGATGAATACCAGCAGTAGGGAATGTGGCAGGGAGTGAGGCAAAAGCTGCAGTGGCAGGGGCAGGGGCACCTGCAGTTTGCTCGTGCTTGCTCCTGGCCCTCCCAGTGGGCATAAGGGCCCCGCCCCTGTTGCTGCTGCTGCTGCTGCTACTGCTGCTCGCTAGGGTGCCCATAGGACCATCCGTGGGACTCAAGCTTGCTTGTGCTGAAGCGGAAGCAGGAGGAGGAGTGGCAGAGGTAGCAGAGGCGCGCACGTGTGAGTCTGCAGCAGCGACGAAGGCGTGGATACTGTTGGGAAGAGGCGTCTTGGTGAAGGTGGCAGTGTGAAAGGCATACGAGTCGGAGTGGCTCCTTCTATGCCTGCTTGCGCCAGCAGCACCAGCAGCACCAGCAGCGACAGTGCCACCAGGAAACTGGTTACCACGAATTGGCTGGTTGCCTCGCTCCGTCCAGTTACCAAAATTCGACTGGTTACTGCGAGCACCCTGGTTACTACCACCAGGCATTCTGTTCTCCGGCAGTCTGCCGGGGAAAGCACCACCCGAACGGAGGCTCTCAGTTCTTGCGACTGGAAGCTGCGCAGAGCCTTCTCCAGCACCGCGTCTAACTCCCCCACCGGCGCCTGCGGGTCCCCATGTGACCGTCTCATCCAGGGGCGGAGCACGTTGGTGAGGGGCGCACGCTGCTGCTTCTGCGTCTGCTGTTGTTACCGCTGATGCTGTTGTGTGCATCTCCGGCCGCTGCCCCGAGCGCCGCTGCTGCTGCTGCTGCCGCTGATGTGGGGGCGGCGATACGTGCGCGGAAAGAGTGGAGCGTGGCAGCCGCGCGGGGGGCGCGTCAGGCGCGTCCGCCGCGTCAGGCGCGCCAGCGGACCAGCTTCGGGGGAAGACAGCGCTCGCGTGCCGCGGGGAGGAGCGCATGGGGGAGACGGGCGGAGGGGATACAGAGGCGCGGCGGGAGGAGCGGAGCAACACGGCAGCAGGAAATTCGGCGGAGGAAGAAGAGGCGATTTTCCTCTGCCGGGGGCGACCGGGAGCGGTACCAAGCAGTTGCTGCTGCTTGCTGATTGGGCTGCCAGGAGCTTGCTGCTGCTGTGCGTTGCTCGTATTGACCGTGATCCCTCGCGCATCGTGTCCGCCCAGCGCACGCGCCACCACCACGAACTCCTCCCACTCCAACTCCGACTCGGATTCCGATTCCCACTCCCACGCGCTCGACTCGCCCTCTCCCTCGCTCTCCTCTCCGCCTTCCTGCGCGCGGGGTTGACTCTCCGCCGCAGCACTGCCGCGGCCCCCGTTGCCCGCGAACCGTCCCGCAACGGCGGAAAGAGGGGAGGCGGGGGGGCCGCGGGGCGGGGAGACACTCGCGGCGGCGGGCGCAATTCCGGGAGTTGCGTCGCGCGGGAGTTGTAAGTGTCTTCCGCCGTCCGCGGACGCTGAGAACAGCGCCGCCGCCGCCGGAATGCGCCGCGGGGGCTGCGGCGAAAGCGGCGGGAGCGTGTAATCTGCGTTGTCCACTCCGCCGTCCGCTGCGTGAGGAGTAATGAATCCGCCGACCGACGCGGATCGGAAGTGGTGAGCGCGGCGGAAACTGGAGGGGCTGCCGGGAGGGGGGCGGGGAGAGCGCGGCACGTCTTTTCCGCCGCGCACTAGTAGCGAGCCTAGGTCCATAGCGTCAGCAGGTGGCGCCGCGTCGGCGACATTAAGGGTAGTACAAGCAAGCCCTGGGAGACCGCGAGAGCTGGGACCTTCCGCGGTCGCCGTCGCTGCGACTGTCGTCGCCACCGCGCCGTCGCTTGCGCCGTTGCTAGACGAGGCGGCGCGCGCTGCGGCTGACGTGGCCACGCCGCAGCCGGCTCCACCATGCCGTGACGCAGCAACCGCCGGCGGGCTTGCGCACGCCGCCTCGCGCGATACACCGCGCGGCGCGGGCGCAAGTGTAGGGACGGGGGGAGCTTGAGCGGCGGAGCGCGTTACTTGGAGACGTCTCAAAACCGGGTTATTACTATTTTCTCCGTCTGACGAAGACCCGTCGCAGTGAGGCGTCTCGACAACGACGCGGCTCGCGCTGCCAGATTGCGCTTGCGGTGGAGGTGGCTGGAAACGCGGGCCCGCAACACCGGCGTCGTTGCCGTCGCGGCGGGCGTTGCGTTTGTCGCGGGAGTCGCGGGCGTCGTAGATACCGCCGCCGACCGCCCACCCCAAGCCGCCGCCTTCATCGGCAAGCCCAATGCTCAGCCCCAAGTAGGCTCTGCAGCGCTCCGGTTTGACCGCCATGGCTGCTGCGACGCTGCCACGTCACTCATCCATTCCTCCTTCGCAATTCCCTGAATACTGTAATGCTCCTCACTTCTCCCTCGTCTGTGACCTGACCAGGAATCGTGAACGAGTTGGTCTAGATTTCACACTCCTGCCTGCTACCATGCTGCCATGCCTGGCTTGTGTGCTGCACACACATCTCCAAAGGCTCTGCTGTGTCTCGCATTGACCTCCCGGACATCCCAGATGCTCTCTGTTCTGTTTCCCGGGATTCGCGCCACGGGTCTTGTTCTCCGTTTTGTATTGACGTGTCTATACGCTCGGGCTTTCTTGGTTAGCAGTTTTTGCTCGTAGACTACGTAGCTAGAAGTCCTCCGCAATTCCAGCAATCTAAAAGCTGTGAGCAAGTGCGGGATCGAGACCAAGTGCGAGGGCAAGACCAAGGGGCACAGTCAGGAAGAGAAAGTCGAATCGAAGGAGGCGGAGCGAGAGACAGAGAGAAAGGGAGGACGACCGAGTAAGAGAAATAGAGTGAGAGGGTTACAACGCGTCGCGACTATTGCCCTGCTTAGTAATGCTAGGAAACGGGATGCTGGCTGCAGTGAATGTCGTAGCCTCCGAGTCGCTGGAGCACAGCTGTCCCGCAACAGCCGATCGTCAGCATACGAGGGCAGCCAAGGACGACGGAGAGGGGACGGATGAGAACGGATTGGCTAGACACGGGAAAGTTGGAACGAGTATCGAGGTCGTGGGCGACAGTTGTGCAACTAGTACGGAGAATGCGACGGTAGTACGCGCTGCGGCTTTTTCTCCCACCCCGTCCTCTGCTACCCCGTCCTCTTCTCCGCCTCCTACGCTGGCCTCTGCTAAACTCTCTCATACCCAGGCCTCTGCTACCCTGGTCGAATCTCCTGAGCCATCGACCCCAGAAAAGTGCCGCCAAACCGAGTCTGACCGTTCCGATCGTTCCACTCCGGAGAACGATCATCGATGCGCGGGAGCTTCCCTGAGGCCGCAGAAGCGTCCACGGTTGTCCACTCCGAGCGCACCTTCTGACGACGGCATCGATGAACGCGAGACGCGTGAGCGGGCGACGATCGCCGGAGGAATCGCGGAAGCGAACGCGAGGGAGCGAGACCCGGTGCTGCGGCCGGGTCCAGGGGACGGAGTGAGGTCGAGCACTGGGATTACCGGAGCGCGCCAGACAGAGAGCGGAGATCAGGACTTTCCTCAACTCGCGGGTGCTTCCGCCGCGGCCGAGCCTCTTGATGGGAACTGCGATGCGCGCGGAGGCGGCGTGGTGGAAACACCGTTTGAGGTCCCTTCTGATGCTGCTGGCGTTCCGGATGTCGCAGTGGTAATAACCACAGGGGAGTGTGACGTGAGCTCCGACGTCACCACTGTCATGAGTCTGACGCCAGGCGGCGGTGAGAAGACGGGACCGGACGGTGGTCCGGAACGCGCTGGCGATGCAGACGACGCGGAGGGTGAAGCCGTTACCGTTACCGTCAATGATGCCGTGACGGTGGACATGCCGCGGCGCAGAGGTGACGGGGATGGGCAAGGCTGGGCGGGCGGCGGGCCTGGGGAAGCGGAGGAAGGGCGGAAATCTGAGACGAGCGAGAGCGGACGCTTACAAGGACAGCCGGGCGGAGTGGCTGTGGCGGAAGCGGGGACGGGAGAGGGGACGGAGGAGGAGACGGGCGAGGGGGACGGTGAGATGGATTGGGAGGGCGATGGCGAGGGAATGACGCTTGACGAGTTGATCCTAATGCATGGCGATCTGGACGGTCTGCCTCTTGGCGTCTCTGCCGCCGCCGCCGCCGTGGTCCCCATGGCTGATGGAGAAGGGCGTTCGGAACAGGAGTGTTGGCCAAGGACGGAAAAAGCGCGTACCGTTGATGATGCTCGACACATTGATGTGGATGGTGATGCTGCGGTGACCGCTGGTGGCCTAATGGCCTTACCAGAGGGCGGAAGAGAGGGGAGAGAGGGAAGATTGGGAGGCGTTGTGGAAGGGTCAGAGCTGGCAGATTGCTGCGGTGCAATGATACGGTATCGCGAGGGTCGTTGCGATGTCGGGAGTGGCGAGGCAGATCCCAGGGAAAACGCGGAGGAGAGCTCGCGCGGCTCGCAGAACTCGTCCGACCTGGCAGCGACACGCGGCTCGACGGGAACGAGTGATACTCCCCACGCCCACGCAAACGCCCACGCTCACGCTCACGCGGATGCGGGCGGTGATGCGGACGCGGACACTGTCGCTGGCGCTGACGCCGATGCGGACTCTGGCTCTGGCGCTGACACCGCCGCGCGGGAAGCGACGGAATGTGGCGAGATGAGCAGGGAGGAGAGTGGAGAGGCTCATGCGGATCGACGCGAGGCGACGCGCGACGATGCGCACTTTCACGAGGCTGTTTCAGGAGATGAAACAGGAGGCGAAGGACGAGACAAAGACGAAACGGGAGGTGAAGATGAAACTCGACGCGGCGGGCTGTATCAGCGAGATGGCGAGGCGGGGCATGCGAGAAGCAGTGGCAGCAGTGGGAGCTGTGAGCGTAGCGGTGGAGACGAAATCAGGAGCGACAAGGAGGAGGGCGAGGGAGTTATTGTCACTGCTTCAGGTGCCAGCACCGCTGCGCCCTCTGCTGCTGCTCTGCCCTCTGCTGTTTTGCCCGTTCTCGTCCCGTGTTCCTCCTCTGCCTCCGCCGCGCCCTCCGCTTCTGCTCCTGCTGACTCTGGCGCCACTGCTGCAGCTGCTGGCAACGGAATTGTATCTCCTGTTACCACTGCTGCACGTGCAGATGCTACGGCGAATGAAGGCGCTTGCGCTGACGCTGCTCCTGCGACTGCAGTGGCTGCTAATGCGCCAGGTGCTGCTGCCACTTCGTCTGCTGCTGCTACCACTATGGCTTCTACTGCCACTGCCTCTGCTGCCGCTGCTGCTACTGCTGATGGTGACGAGTTCTCAAGAGGCGAGTCCGCCCCGTCGTCTACACCGTCCCTAGTCCCAGCTGCCTCTGCCTCCGCCTCTGCCTCTGCGCTCCCCTCGTCCGCTTCCCTCCCAACCTCCTCGCCTTCGTCCCCCATCCGCTCGTCCCACTCCTCCGCGTCTGTCGCCCAAGGCGCCACCACCAAGCTCGCCAAGAGGCCCTCACCTTCCCCTTCATGCCCGCTCGCAGCAACCAGGAGGTCTGATAACACAACACGTGCAAACGCTGCAACAGCAACAGCAGCAGCAGCAGCAGCAGCAGCAGCGGCGGCGGCGGCAGCAACGGTGGCGCCAGCAACTTCTGCTCCAGCAGCATCTGCTGCTCCCTCCGTGGCCTCGTGTCACCCGCCCTTGCGGTCACTGCAAGCCGCCAGAGCCAGCAGCAGCAAGGGACTCAAAACCATCATGCCTGCTCCCTTTTCCTGCCAGCCTTCCTACCCTTCCTCCTACCCCTCCGCCTACCCGCCCTCCTACCCGTCCTCCTACCCTTCCTACCCCTCCTGCCCCTCCTATTCCTCCTACTCCTCGCCCTTCGCACCATCTCTTGCTGCTGCTGCTTCCGGTGGTTTCTTTTGTGCCAGTCAGCCGGTGCCTTTGGGAATGCCACTGATGGCAGGGCCAGGGGCTTTGGGCGCAGGCACCATGACCATGGGTGGCATGGGCGGTGCCATTTCTCACGGCATGCCAGCTAATGGCGTTGGGATGGCTGCCAATGGGATGGCTATTACCGAACAGGGTGGAATGGGGATGGGAGGGATTACTGGTTGGTCTGGAGCAAGAGCAGTGTTTCCAATGAACAGCGGCAGCATGGGCATGGGCGTAAACATGAACTTGGGAATGGGGATGAGTATGGGCATGGGAGTAGGAATGGGAATGGGTATGGATATGAGCATGGGGGTTGCGGGTGGAGGGGCGGTTGGGGCAACAGCCATGGGCGTGCCTGTGCAGCAGCAGCAGCAGCAGCAGGGAGGGTGGGGGATGGTGCCGGCAGCAGCACCGATGAACCAGCCTCAGGCACCCACGTTTCACTACCAGCAGCCGCAGATGGCTGTGTTTGAAGGACGGTCGAGCTTTGACATGGGCATGGGCATGGGCATGGGCATGAGCATGGCGTTTCCTGCTGGATCAGCAGCAGCAGGGGGCTATGGGGCATCCTCGCCATCCATGTGGTGCACACCCCAGGTAACTGCCTGCACCCTGCAGCTTGCAGCTTGCAGCTTGCCAACCCCATGCACCATGCACCGTGCACCATGCACCTTGCACAAATCTGGTATTTCCTGCCATCATTCCTCCGACCTCTTCCTCATTCTCTCAGTCACAACTCTCCCCCTCCCCTTTCCCCTCCCCTCCCCTCTCCACCCCGAATCTCTCCCTGCTCTCCTCTACAACAGGGAACATGGGTGCAAGCGGCCCAAGGCACGCCTCAACCCCAGCACGTGTTCCCACACCCGTCATCATCATTGTTAACATCATCGCAATCCTTCCACTGTGCCTCACAAGCATACCACCACCACTCAACTCCTCTCCTGGGTGTTCCTGCCAGCAGCAACACAGTTGTACCAGCGCCGGCTGCTGCTCCTGCCACTGCCCCTGCTGCTGCCATGGCTGCTTCCGCTGCTGCTGCCACTGCCGCTGATGCTGCCGTGGTGGCCTCTACGGATGCTTCCTTTGCTGCTGGTGCTGGCGGTGGTGCTGGTGCTGTTGATACTGGCGACGATGGCAGTTGTGGGAGTGGAGGCATGGGCAGTCTGCAAGAGCTAGAGGCATTGGTGATGGAGAGCGCCAAGGGCCCTTCCTTCTCCGCGCTGCCACCACTGCACCCAGCTCCAACCACTCCCACCACGACCACGACCACTACCAGCAATAGCAATAGCAATAGCAACAGCACGGGTCCGTCGTCCTCGCAAGCTGTCTCATGCACTGAGCACCGTCAGTCCAGCCTAGCCCAAGCTGCTGAATGCGCTACTGCCGCTCCCTTGGCCACCGCCCTTGCTGGGAATGGCACTGATGGTGGCGTCGCCGCCGCTGCTGCTGCGTCATCTGCCATCCCCGCAGGTCCAGCAGAACATATTGCGGTGAAGAGGCAGTGGAATCTCACCATTGCGATGCATCCTGACAAGAAGGGAGCCGATGCTCTTGCTGGTGGCACTAGCTGTAACAGCGGTAACAGCAGAAACGGTGGTGAGAACAGTAACCGCATCGACTGCAATAACTGCAGCAGTGGCGGTGGTGCTGGTAGGGATGTTGCTCCTGTTCACCGCACTCCTGTCGCCTCTGTGTCTGCCACCATACCTACCGCCGGTGCTGCGGCTGCTGCCAACGCCGCTGCTGCTTTCCTTCTCAATGCTACTGCTGCTGCTGAACCTTCGCCTGACCCTCACACTGCTGCTGCTGCTCCTTCTCCCCTGACGGAAGTGGAAACTGGATCACGCGAAGCAACCATGGAAGGAAAGGGGGGAGCGGAGGGGGGAGCGCAAGGTGAGGAGACGACGAAGGAGGAAGAGCAGGGTTCAGGTGTGCAAGGGGACGTAGTGGCGGATGCAGAAGCAGAGGCCTTGTTCTCGGACTCACTGCTCCGTGATGACGACCACGGGCTCTCCTCCTTCGTCCTCGACCTCGCCCTGCCTTCCCACCCTCCTTGCGCTCCCACTCCCGCCTTGCCTGCTGCCGTCCGTGGGCTTCCTAGTGCCAGTGGCACAGGGGGAGGGGGAGCAGGAGGGGCAGGAACAGACGGGGGAGTGGCTGAGCAGGGTAGACAGCAGGCGAGGGAGAGGGGAGACGAGGATGTAAGCTACTTTATGCATGGGGCAGGTTGTGGTAATGCAGGGGGGGCGAATTTCCTGGACGTGGATGTGTTTGGATGGCTTGCAGAGGACTCGCCTTTCGGAGGCTCACCAGTCAAGACCGTGCCTGCTGTAAGCGTTGCTTCAGTCGCCTTCTTGCCTCTATCTCCTACCAACTTCCCCCTCAGCCTCCTTCTCTCTTCCCCTTTCCCCCTTTCCACCCCTCTTCCCTTGTCCTTCGCCGTCCCGCTTCCTTTCCCTTCATTTCTCGTCATCTAATCCCCTTGCTCCCCTCGTTTCCTCACCCACCCCTTCACGCTCAAGATTGCTGGAGCCTTCAACGGCTGTGGATGCTTGAGTCCCTTTGCCCCTCGCAATGCTTCCATTTCCTCCCTGTGGCAGGCACAGCCGGTGGAGCAGATGGATTCGGACACACCCAGCAGCAGCAGCAACGATCTGTGTGGAGAAGCCACCACTGCCACCCACGCAGAAGTCCCAGCACCAGCAGCGGCTGCCACAGGAGCAGCAGTGGCAGAAACGGCAGCTGCAGCAGCACCAGCAGCAGGTGCGCATAATACAGCAACAGCAGCACCGGCAGGAGCAGCACCGGCAGCAGCAGCACCGGCAGCACCAGCAGCAGCAGCAGCAGCACCAGCAGGTGGTTCAACTCAAGTTGCTGTGCCTGCTGCTACTCATGCCCTCTCTCGGAAATCTCCCGCTGCAGCTGGTGGTGCTGCAGCAGCAGCACCACCCCATCCTGTTGCTGCTTCTCCTACCGCAGCTTCTTCGGGAAAACCTGGGCCCAAGAAGAAAAAAACTTTAGTCAGACCTTCTGCTGCTGCTGCTGTTGCTTCGTGCAATTCCGCAACCAGGACCACAAAAAATGCAAAATCCAGCACACCTGCCACAGTCACCAAGAAGGCGACCGCGACTGCTGATTCCACTGCTCCTCCTGCTCCCACCCCTAATTCAACTCCCCCTCCTGCTGCCGGTGCTGCTGCAGCAACCATCAAGACATCTGGTCCTGGTGGGAAAGGGGCTGTCGCCACGGCCAACAAGGCAGCAATTGTAGAATCTGGACCTGCCCCTGGATCCAGCCTCACGTCTGCAGCCAAGGCGAATCCAACTAGCAACTCCGTGGCAGTCACAAAAGCACTCGCTGCTGTGCCTGGTGGTGTGGTGGATGCTGCACGGGCTGCTGTGGCTGCTGTGCCCTCTTCCCTTGGGCCAAAAGCCGTGCTGGCTCGGATCAGAAGTGGCAAGGTTGCTGCTGCCATGGCTGCTGTTCATGCTGCTGGCCAGGCTTCTCCTTGTGTCCCGGGAATGCTGAAGGCAGGCACGACTCCGAGCGAAGGTCTGTGTCAAAAAGTGGGAACAAAAGCAGCAGCAGTAGCTGGGGCAGCGACTTTTGTGCAGAAGAAAGGAGTAGTGCAGAATCCATCTGGAGTGGTTGCGGGACATGCGCGGCATGGGCTTCAGGCAAACCCATCCCCTCGCCTTACAGCTGCTCTTTCTTCTCTTCGGAATGGTTGCAACAAGTAAGACGAATGTAGAGAGATCTGTAGGCCAGGGTAGGCAGTTATGATGTTTCCAATAATTCAAAGTGTGTTTCCAATAATGCAAAGTTTGCCTAAGGACAACAATGTTCATTCATGTACCAACCTGTGAAGATAAGCTGACAATAAGAACCTCTTGTAGTCATACGTGTTGCGTGTTTCTTGCAATTTCCCGCCCTTGGGAATGCCCTTTGGACTTCCCCAGCCCCCCCCAAGGTCTAGGCATCAAGCTCATTTTGCCTCGATGGCTCCACGGCTCAATTCGGCCCAAGCGACGCCAAACCCACCAGTTGCGACCTCGCATGCTGTCGTACGCTCGCAGCCCAGCCGTTGAAGCCGTTGGCTAGTCGCAGGCGAAAACCAAACCAGTTTTTCTTGCCGCCGCCTCCTCCAAGGAGATCGCGTTCACCCGTTCACCCGCTCACCCTGGCCCCAGCGGAATCTGAGCATCCCGACTCCCGCTGGGCTGGAACGCACACCCTTGGCTGAACCCACTAACTTGCGCAGACCGACTTTTACCGAAGCAGATTTGCTGCGCATTCTGTGTCGCTCCCCGTCAATTATTAGGCTAGGAAGCAATTTATTCTCCTAGTGCAGTGTGACCTGACCAGGGAGAAAGCCGTGCCTCCCACCCACCACGGCTTACCGCAGCCAACAAATTTCACAACTAAATTGATTCTGAGCAGATCCTTGTTTAGGCGCCTCAAGAAATTGTATTGGAGCAGATCCTTGTTTTTAACCAGTAGCAGGCGATTTTCTTGTTTGCCTTCAACCATCGCCCGTACCCTAGTTGACGTCGATCGTCGGTTTTTTCACCACCTCCCCCTCTTTCCCGCATCAATCTCTCGCCCGATAGTCTCTAATCCGCTGGCCCGATGGCGACACCAGATTTCTCGGATCTCGAGGCGGTGGACGCGGTGCGGCTGACGTGGAACGTGTGGCCGAATTCCAAGGTGGAAGCGACCAAGTGCGTGGTGCCGTTCGCGGCGGTCTACACGCCCGCGAAGCGCCTGCCCGAGATGCCCGTGCTTCCGTACGAGCCCATCCGCTGCAAGTCGTGCCGCTCCGTGCTGAACCCATTCGCGCGCGTGGACTTCATCGGCAAGATGTGGATCTGCCCTTTCTGCTACCAGGTACTACTGCTGCCGCTGCTGCTGCTGCCGCCGCCGCTGCTGCTGCTGCTGCTGCTGCTGGTGGTCCACGTGCTCCTGAATTCGCGAAGTGGCTGCTGCTGGTGCCGTTGTGCCGATTACTTGCTCATCTGAAATGGGTCTTTTGGGGGGAAGGGTTCGAATGAGTCGACATTGCGCTGGGTATTATGTGGCGCAATTGAAGCCCTTCGGTTCCAGATTGAGTCCGCAATGCGCTTCGAGAAGCCGAGACTATTTGCTGATCGTTGTTCCCCTTTCTCTTTTTCCCCTCCCCCTTTCCTCGCTCCCCCCTCTCCCTCGCCCTCGCCCGCTCCTCCCCACGCGCAATCCCGCGCGCAGCGCAACCACTTTCCACCGCACTACGCGGCGATCTCGGAGTCGAACCTGCCGGCGGAGCTGTTTCCGCAGTACACGACGATCGAGTACACGCTGCCCACGGTGGGCCCGCCCGTCAACCCCGTCTTCCTCTTCCTGCTCGACCTGTGCCTCATAGAGGAGGAGCTGGGCTACCTCAAGACCGCCGTCTCGCAGGTGCGTCCTCGAATGGGCGTGTGGGCAAGTGTATGTGAAACCACCCAACAGCCCATATGTTTCCTGCCGGGGAACCCCGTCTTTCTCTTCCTGCTCGACCTGTGCCTCATAGAGGAGGAGCTGGACTACCTCAAGGCCGCCGTCTCGCAGGTGCGTCGCTGGGTGGGCGCGTGCGTGTGAGCGCGTGTGTGGGCGTGTGTGCGCGCGCGTGTATAACCACCCAACAGCCCAAAGGTTTCCTGCCGGAAACATCGCCACGCGCGCATACATTCACACACAGCACGCTTTTGCGCACCTCCCGCGCCTCTAAACCTGTCCTCCCCGCTCCGGCACCCGCCCACCCACCCCACTCCACCTACCCCTCCCGTCCCAATCCATTCAAAAAACCCATTCCATCCGCCCTCGCCTCCCACTCTTCCCCTCCCTCCTCCCCCCCCCCCTCCCCCCTCCTCTTCCCTCTCCGGGGCTCCAAACAGGCCATCGGTCTACTCCCTGAGAACGCGCTGCTAGGCTTGATCACATACGGCACGCAGGTGCACGTGCACGAGCTGGGCTTCTCCGACTGCCCGAAAATGTTCATCTTCCGCGGCACCAAGGACGTGTCCCGCCAGCAGATCGTTCAACAGCTCGGCCTCTCCGGCCCAGGCGCCGCAGGCGGAGCAGCAGGAGCCGCGGGGGGCGGAGCGGGCGGGGCAGGGGGAGCGGGAGGGGCTGGGGGAGTGGGGGCGGGTGCGGGAGCGGGGGGGATGCGGGACGGGGTGCCGGCAGCGGGAGTGGCGCGGTTTTTACTCCCGGCGCAGGAGTGTGAGTTCACAGTGGCGACGGTGCTGGATGAGTTGAGCAGGGACGCGTTCCCTGTGCCGCTGGGGGAGAGGCCTGCCAGGTGCACGGGCACGGCGCTGAGCGTGGCGACGGCGCTGCTGGGCGCGTGTGTTCCCGGCACGGGGGCGAGGATACTCAGTTTTGTTGGTGGCCCCTGCACGGAAGGGCCTGGCATGGTGCGTGCGTAGAGGCCGGGTGGGTTGGTGCTGTGGAGGGAAGAATGGAGAGGGAGGCAGGCTGATGGGGAGAATGGAAGGGGTGGGGAGTGGGAGGGAATGGAGAGAGGAATGGGAAAGGTGGTGGGGCTTGGCTGTGCCGACATGTGTCTGTCTGTATGCCTTTCTGTCTGTCTCCCCACACCCTTCCACCCTCCATTCTCCCCCTCCGTTTCCCCCTCCCTCCCCCCCCACTCCCCCTCCCTTTCCCTCTCTTCCCCTCCTTTCGCCCCTCCCTTCCCGCCTCCCTTTCCCTTCCATTCCCTCTCTCTCCCCCTCCCTCCCCCCTTCCTCCCCTCTCTCCCCCCCTCCCTCCCCCCTCCCTCCCCTCTCTCTTCCCCTCCCTCCCCCCCTCCCCCCGCCCTCTATACATCCCTCTACCACCCCTTTCCCCCTCTCTTTTCACCCTCGATTTTGCCCCGCCTTCCCCCTACCTTATCTAATCCCTTCGCCTGCTCCGCTCCCTCCCTCCCCATCCCTTCCCCCATCTCCCCCTCCCGCCCCCACCCCCACGCACAGATAGTGGGGCGGGATCTATCGGAGCCGATACGGTCGCACAAGGACCTGGACAAGGACGCAGTGGTGCACTACAGCAAGGCCGTGAAGTTCTATGACGGGCTCGCCAAGCAGCTCGTCGCCCAGGGCCACGTGCTCGACCTCTTCTCCTCCGCGCTCGACCAGGTGGGTGGGTGGGTGCGTTAGCGAGGTGACAGGTGCTGCGTGCTGTTTTTCAGGAGCCTCAAAAGGTCGTCTCGTTTCAAGCAGCTCGTGGCTCAGGGCCACGTGCTTGACCTCTTCTCCTCTGCACTCGACCAGGTGCCCCTCGCTCGCTCCCCTGTCCCTCCTCTTCTCTCCCGTTTCCTCTGTGCCTCCTCCCCCGTGCCTCTTTCCCTCCTCGTCTCTGCCTCCTCTCTTTCTCCTCGTCCCTGTCTCCTCTCCTCTGCCGTACTGCCTCAAATATCCTCGCACACGTATTCCCTCTATGCACCATCTTGTCATCACCGGATCACACCCCCTTTCACCCCACTGCCACCTCACTAACCGTTCTTCCACCTTCCTCTCCCCCCTGCTCTCCCCCTCCTCCCTACCCAACTCCGCATCCCTCCCCTCCCCTCCCGATCCCCTGTCCTTCCTCCCCCTTTCCCTCCCCCTCATTTTCTCCCTCTCGCATCTCTTCTTTGCCCCTCTCGTCCCTCTCTGCCCCACCTCAGGTGGACATAGCGGAGATGAAGGTGGCGGTGGAGAATTCAGGCGGACTGGTGGTGGCCACCTCTCCTCAACTGATCACACCCCCATTAACCCAATCCCACCTCCTCTCCCCTCTCCCCCTCTCCTCCCCACCAGGTGGGCATAGCGGAGATGAAGGTGGCGGTGGAGAAGTCAGGCGGGCTGGTCGTGCTATCGGAGAGCTTTGGCCATCCAGTATTTAAGGACTCGCTCAAGAGGGTCTTCGACACCGGCGATACCTCCCTCGGCCTCTCCTTCAAGTCAGCCTCTCTTGAAATCAAACCTCTGATGCGCAGCCTCCAACTTCTGTCGTCGATCCGGTTTGACTAACTTGGCTGACCCGGCCTTGTCCAAGAGGCCAGACGCTGCTGTTAGTGCCTGTAGAGTCAGTTTGCAAGATGAGCGCCAAGTGGTGCTTGCTCTGCCGCTGTCAGTTTTGGGGCTGCTCGTATAGTCTTTGATTCATGGCTTGCTGTACGAGCAGCCCTAAAATCTCCCCTTCTCCCACCTTTTTCCCCTTCCCAATCCCCTTGCCCTTCCCCTGCCCCTGCCCCTTCCCCTTTCCATTCCCCTGTCCCTTCCCTTTCCCCGTACCCTTCTCCTTCCCCTCCCTTCCCTGCGCCATTGTTGTGCGTGTGTGTGAGAGCAGTGGCATATTCGAGGTGCACTGCTCCAAGGACATCAAGGTGCAGGGGGCCATCGGGCCCTGCTCCTCGCTTGACAGAGTACGTGCCGCATCCTTTGTGCCACATGCTGTGTGCCCGACCCCCCATGCCCTGCCTGCCCCATGCCGCATCTCCTGGCCCATGTCTCTCATGTCTCATGCACGTACCATAAACTGTTAGACATGCGGTGCCACGTCACACCACGCCAGGAAACGCAGGCCAAGCCTCCCCCGACTCTCCCCCCTCCTCCCCCTTCACGCGCCCCGTTCGTGGCTGCAGAAACGGCCATTGACATCAGACGTGGCGGTAGGGCGTGGGAGCTGTGTGGGCTGGACTTATGACTCGTCTCAAAAGTCCCTCCGCCTCGCCCCCCTCTTCCCCGCCTCTTCCCCCTCTCGTCCGTCCCCTTTCTCGCTGCAGAAAGGGCCATTGACATCAGATGTGGCGATAGGGCAGGGGCACACAACGGCGTGGAAGCTGTGTGGGCTGGACGTGTGCACTTCCCTCGCAGTGCTCTTTGAGATCGTGCCGGCACAGCAGCAGCAGGCGCAGCAGCAGGCAGCCGCACAGGGCTTGCAGAACCCTGGAGCACAGCAGTTCCACCTGCAGTTCACCACCTCGTGAGTGAGGAAGGGAGGGTGTGCTCTTTTTTTTTTTTTTTTTTCACTGGGGAGATATTTCAGAAGTGGCACAAACGCCCCACAGGAGTTCCACCTGCAGTTCACCACCTCGTGAGTGAGCACTTGTAAGACGTCTCAAAAGTCGTGAGTGAGCAGTTTTGCATTTTCTCATAACCAGAACCCTGCAGCAAAAGCAGTTCCACCTGCAGTTCACCACGTCGTGAGTTACAGGGTGGGGGGGAGGGAGGGGGACATGTGTGGGTGAGAGCACACTACAACGGGTACAGTCGCTGAACAGGGCGGAAGGAAATGGTCAAGGAGAGGTTTAGGGTGGGTGAAAAAAGATCATGGTTATGTACATTGCGTGCGCCTGTCTCCCACGCATCCCCTCCCCTTTCCCCACTTTGGTTCAAGACTGCCTCCCTGTCCTTTGTAGAAACCCCCTTGGCTTCCCTATGCCTCTGCAACCATTGGAGAAGGCACATCACTTCTCTCTCCCCTTCCCTCTCCCCTCCCCTTCCATCCTCTTCCCTCCCCTTCCCTTCCCTCCTCCCTCCCCCCCCTCCCCCCCCCCCCCCCCCCCCCCCCCACACCCCACCCCCCCCCCCCCGCGCATGTCCCAGCTACCAGCACCCGTCGGGGGAGACGCGGTTTCGAGTGACAAGCATCACGCGGCGGTGGGTGGAGGGCGCGAGCTCAGGCGACCTGGTGGCGGGCTTCGACCAGGAGGCCGCTGCTGCTGTGGTCGCCAGAATCACCGGCTTTAAGATGGAGACTGAGGTGGGGGATTGGGGGAGGTGGCTTGTTGTCAGAGGGGGTGAGGTGATTTCTCAGGCGACTTTGTGGTGGGCTTTGACCAGGAGACTGCTGCTGCTGTGGTTGCCAGAATCACGGGATTCAAGATGGAGACTGAGGTGAGGGGGGAAAGTAAGAGGAGTTTGACGCCACACGGTGGCTGGACTGACCGGCTGCTGATTCGCGTGTGCAACAATTTCTGCTTTTCGAGACAGTATGATGTCTTAACGATCTCCCCCCACCCTTCCTCCCCTCCCCCTTCCCCCCATCCACTCTCTCCTCCTCTCGCCTCTCTCTCAGGAGGAGTTTGACGCCACGAGGTGGCTGGACCGGCTGCTGATCCGTGTGTGCAATAAGTTTGGGGACTACCGCAAGGACGACCCTGCCTCCTTCTGCCTCTCGCCCAACCTCTCGCTCTTCCCGCAGTTCCTCTTCAACCTGCGCCGCTCGCAGTTTGTGCAGGTGCGTGCGTGCGCTTGCCTCTTCAAGTTGCCCAGGCAGGTGGGCTGCTGAGGCCTGACTTGGAGCAAGACAACTCAATGGGTGCTGCTAGGTAGGTGGGCATTCGGGACAAAGAAGCCAACCAACCTCTAGCTCGTCCCGCAGTTCCTCTTCAACCTGCGCCGCTCGCAGTTCGTGCAGGTGCGTTCGTGTGCATGTGCGTGGGGTTGTTGTGCAAGGTGGACAGGTGGGGGCTGCGGCAAAGTCCTTGCTTGCATCAACATTCAACACAACTCAGTTGGTATATGCGTTCAGCACGAAGAGTATGTTTTTTTAGAATTAAAAAAAACATACATTGGTAGATGCGTTCAGCACGAAGAAACCAACCTCTCGCTCTTCCTGCAGTTTCTCTTCAACCTGCGCCGCTTGCAGTGCGTGTGCTGCTGCTGTCTGGTATGGTGTTTCTTAAACGCTTTTTTGTGGTGGTGTGCGGGTGTTAGTTCTGTTAGGTGCCCTGAAAACAGCTAGTGCCAAGTCAAGGGCACTTTTGTAAGGGGATGCTGGTGTGTAATTAATGACCATGCGATTCTCGTAAGCTCATGCAGTGGCCCCTTGGGCACTGTTGATTGCTCCGAAATGCTCATCACTCTCTTCGTTCTATGCACCTGCATTTGACCGTGTTGGCCCATCCCATCCCGCCCCACTCGTGCAACGTTGCATCGCTCGCGTGCATGTGATGTGATGGAGCCAGGTGTTTGGCAGCAGTCCAGACGAGACGGCGTATTTCCGAATGGTGCTCAACAGAGAGAGCGTGCTCAACTCCCTAGTCATGATCCAGGTAATAATCGCCTTCGACAACTGCATGCATGCATGCACGCATGTGCTCAACTCAACTCCCTCATATGCTTGCATTTGCCTCGCATACCGTTCACGCTGTTCCAGTGACAAGGTCTGTTCGAGAGAGGACCGTTTCCTTACACCCACTCCACTCCCCCCTTCCTCCTCTCCACCCCCCTCCCCGCAGCCCACGCTGACAGCGTACTCGTTCAACTCGCCGCCAGAGCCGGCGCTGCTGGACGTGGCAGCCATCGCAGTGGACCGCATCCTGCTGCTCGATGCATTCTTCTCCGTCGTCATCTTCCATGGCTCCACCATTGCTCAGTGGCGCAATGCTGGTTACCACAACCAACCCGAGCACCAGGTGGGTCGGAGGACAATTAGAGGAAGATATTTTTTCTTCTTTCTTCTCTTTTCGTTTCTTTTCTTATTTTTCGCCCCCTCCATCCCCCCAGCCTCTCCCTTCACCCCCACAAACCTCCCCCACCCGCTCACCCACCCACCCCAGCTCCTCCTCCCCATGTATCTGCTCTCGTTTGTTATCCTCCTTCCCCATTACCACTTCTGGCATGACCAAGCCCACACACGCACATGCACACTCAACCACACCTGATTTTCCCCACCTGCCTGTTTCCAGTGATATCGCGAGCCCGGGCTATGACATCTCAATAACCCCCTCCTCTTGCAATCCATCGCTGTCTCCCTACTGACCTGCTCTCCTGTGGTTCCCGTGCTTCTCTGCTCCGCTTGCGCCCCCCTCCCCAATTCTCCCACTGCTGCAGGCCTTTGCGCAGCTGCTACAGGCGCCGCAAGCGGACGCAGCGGCCATCATAGCAGAGCGGTTCCCCGTGCCACGACTCGTGGACTGCGACCAGAATGGCAGCCAGGTACGGCGTGGGAGGGGAGAGGAAGGAGGGGGGGAAGATGGGGGGGGGGGGGGGGAGTGAGAGAGGGGAGAGGAGAGGGGGAACGGGAAGGGGAAGGAAAAGGTAAGACTGGAGTGGGTAAGGGAGAGGGGAGGGTGCGGAAACGTCGGGATGGAGGTGCAGGGGGGTAAGTGGATGCCCGGGAAGAGGGGTGTCCATATCTGCGGACAGGAGTGTCTGGTGTGTGTGCATTTAGTGGTGCCTAAATTCATTGCACATGCGCATATTTACCGTCATTGCTCCCGCATCCCTAGTGTGCACATGTCGAGGATACATGCAGGCCAATTAACCATGTTCAAATGCCCCTGCTTGTTGCACCCGCGCCTCGGTACAGGCCCGGTTCCTACTGGCGAAGCTGAACCCGTCGGCAACATACAACAGCGCGTCAGCAGTGCCCGGGGGAGAGGTCATTCTCACAGATGACGTATCACTGCAGGTTTTCATGGAGCATCTGCAACGGCTGTCTGTGCAGTCGTAGGTGTGCAGTGCGGTGCAGTGCAGTGGATTGAGGGTAGCGTAGGCTAGGCAAAGTGTTAGAAAACAGGAAGAGTGGGAAGAGGAGGGTCCTGCAAGGAAAAGGATTCTCCTATTATCATCACCACAACAACATAAACAGCAATACTTGTATTGTACAAGCTACAGCTCGCATCTGAACAGAACTTACTTCACATGGTTTCCGTTTTACTGGGAACCATCAGGGGAGGTGTGCCCAGACTTAGTGAAACCCTCATGAAAACCAATGGAAAGTACTTACGGTGTGTTCTATTTTGGAGTCTAAGATGATCATATGTAGGTGTTGTGTAAGGAAAATTCCTTTTCCTTACTTCGCATCCCTGCTCCAACGCGTACATCATTGTAGCACCACAGTCAGCACCATTACCACTCGCAACCCTCGCATCGACAATCCGCCCGCCACCTTCGCACATCGCACCCCGACCTCACGGCTCGGCGGGTAACCCGCGCTCCGGGCCTCCGCTTCGACACTTTTTCCCAACCTCAGTCCCAGGCCCGTCGCGCGACAACCACAGTCCATTACCGTTACCACTGTAGTTTCGCTATATATTCTTCGCTCATGCGTGGAGGTCCGACGGTTCAATCGTGGGTCTTCACGATGAACGTCTTCTTCGACGCGAATTACGTCGAGTCGGACGCAGCGAAGATTCGGTATGCCGTTTCGCTGCTAAGGGGTCCCGCCATGGATTGGCGGCGAGTCATCGTGACGTCGCCACGCGCCTACGAGCCACCGTCGCAAGAGGAAGGGCCCACGGGCCCAGCTGTCACCTGGAGTTCATTCTGCGAGACCGCCCAATACAGCACGTGGGATGCGTGGTGCGCAGGGTTTCGGGCGCGCTTCGAGCCGATCGCGGCTTCTATTTCGGCGCGTCAGAGATTGCGCACTTGGCGGCAGCTTGGATCGGTTCAAGACTATACGAGTGGTTTTCTCGCATTATGCGAGCAAGTCGGCTACATGCACGAAGCGGAGCGGGTGGACCGTTACGTCGGAGGGCTGAAGCCGGACATCTCGCACGAAATCATGCTACGCGGGCTCTCGAACTTCAACGAGATTCTCGCGCTCGCCGAGAAAATCGACATTTTACGCCGTCCGAGACCGGGGTCCTACTATGGACATCGTCCTCGGGGACCGATCGAGCACGCCACTGTACACGCTGTTGCGACGAATGCAGCTGCCGCGCCGTTTAAGGGGCGCTGCTTTGCTTGCAACAGGCCGGGCCATCGCAAGAGCGAATGCCCAGAGGAGCTAAGGCGCCGCGGAGCAGAGCAGGGGAGGGAGTCTCCAAAGCAGGGAAACGCCAGCAGTCAGTAGGAATCGGGCCAACTACTGACGAGACTGCCTGCTCGCCCAACCCCACCGACCCTCACCGAGTCACAGTACCGATTCATGCTATCGATCGGACTCGGACGAATAAGGAGGGTACAGCGACGGATTGCCCAGTACTGATCCACGGGAAAATACAGGGAGCAGCAGTGAAGATTTTTATCGACGGAGGAGCAAGCCACAGTTTAGTTAATACCGCAACAGCACGAAAACTGCAGCTGACACTTAGCCGTTGCTTACCGGAGATAGACGCACGCATAGTCGACGGCACGCCACTGGCCATACGGGAAAAGGTAGAGAGAGTCAAAGTCCGCTGCGGGGGAAATTTCGGGTTTACACAGGAAATGCTCGCAACGACACTGGATGGGCACGATATTTTACTGGGACGTGATTGGCTGCGACGGTATAACCCGCGAATTGACTGGACGACGGGTAGCTGCACCGTGCAAAGTAGTGGTAACTGGGTCGAGCTACCTCGCTGGCAGTCGCCCGAGTCTTCAACGGTACACGTCAACGCCATCACAATGAAACGGGCTGTCGCTGCTGGAGCTGACGTGTACGCAGTAGACATCGCAGTAGTAGAGGAAGCAGAGCAGCCGAGTGATTTCAAGAAACTGCTGGCAGCCGTACCGCCCGAATTACAGGAACTGTTGAAACGATACCCCGGGATTTTCCCCGACGACTTACCGGAAGGACTGCCACCTCAGCGAGCACATGACCACCGAATCGAATTAGAACCGGGGGCACAGCCAACCGTACAGCGCCAGTTCAGACTGACACAACCCGAGCTCGACGAACTAAGGAAGCAGTTAGATTACCTGTTAGAGAAAAAATTCATCAGACCGAGCTCGTCACCATTCGCCGCACCGATACTATTCACGCCGAAAAAAGACGGGGGGTTTCGCATGTGTATCGACTACAGAGCACTGAACAGGGTAACAGTCAAGTCGCGGTACCCCATTCCCCGCGCCGACGAACTGATCGACCAACTGCGAACAGCACGGGTTTTTTCGAAAATAGATTTACGGGGAGGTTACCATCAGATTAGGGTCGAACCATCGGACTGCGCCAAAACAGCTTTCAGGACTAGGTACGGGTCATTCGAGTACACTGTGATGCCATTCGGGCTGACCAACGCACCGGCGACTTTTCAGATGACCATGAACGAGGCATTTAGGCCGCTCTTGGATAAATGTGTAATAGTTTACCTCGACGACATTCTAGTGTACAGTCGGGATAAGCAGCAGCACTTAGCAGATCTGGAAGCAGTGTTTAAGGTTTTAGACGAGCACAGATTGTTAGAAAGAAGAAGTGTTGGACTACAAGGGAGTACAAGTACCTAACCCTAGAATTGTGTACCCCCTAAAGGCTAACCCACTGTAGCCTACACAAATACAACATATATAATGTTTGACACACCCCCATAGTCTAAGTGGGGGAGAGCAAGTGGTCACAAGACCAGTCAAAGCAAAACAAAGCAAGACAAGCTCAGGGTGGATCTCAAGGATACCACACAAATTCCGAGCACAAGCAAATGGTCACAAGACCAGTTCACATGCAGTTTGATAATAGAACAAGAGGTACAGTGATCACAACCTAGCAAGTGTAAGCATGCAGGTATATATATAGAGATCATAGTACAAGCAGAGTCAAGAAGTGAGCAAGTGAGGGAGAGTAGGCACAAGGCCTAGAACAGTACAGAAACGCTGATGATCACAAGGCTGAAGCGCCTTGGTGAACACATCAGCAGTGTTGGCCCGAGTGGCCACGTACGAGAGACGAAGCTGACCCCTCTGCTGCAGCTCTCGCGCTAGGAAGTAGCGCAGAGCGATGTGCTTCGTTCTGTGCTCCAGTCTGTGCTCCTCACACAAGGCAATGGCTGCCTTGTTGTCGACGTACAGCACTGGAGGAGAACGAGGCCGCTCTCCAAGGTTGGTCAGCAGGTAGGTGAGCCAGCGTAGCTCCTGGGCCGCCATGGCTGTGGCGTAGATCTCAGCCTCACAACTGGAGCTGAGAACAGAAGAAGAGCGTGTAGAACGCCAGGAAACAGAGCCAGAGCCAAGGCTGAAGGTGTAACCCTGAGACGACCGCTGCGTAGCCTGGTCGTCAGCCCAAGAAGCGTCTGAGTGTCCAGTGAGGACAACGTCGCGCCGTCCTCCAAGCACAAGCCCCATGCCCGACTTACTGCACAGGTAACGCAACACCCTCTTAGCGGCATCCATGTGCTCCTTCCGGTGACGGCCAGGAGCGACATAGCATGCTAGGATGCTAAGAGGGTATGCAAGGTCAGGTCTAGTGCAGGTCATCAGGTACATGAGGCAGCCCACAAGCTCTGGATACGGGCCACTCGGCTCTACGGACTCATCCGAAGGCAGAGCTGAGAGCGAGTGACCGGTAGGCAGAGGAGTGGGCTGAGGCGAGGAGTACGTGAAGCCGAAGCGTTGAAGGACCTGCTGCACCATGTGTGACTGAGTCAAGGTGATGGTGCGCTGTGCTCTGTCCCGGGTGATCCGCAAGCCAAGATAGCTTGTCAGTTCACCCAGGTCTGTGCACGTGTGTCTCTTCTGCAGCTCCGACTTCACGTGGGCGAGTGCCTCAGTGTCAGCAGTAGCAAAGACCAAGTCGTCGACGTACACGAGAACGTAGAACGGCGGCAGAGTGGTGTCGGTGCGTAGAAACAGCGACGGGTCAGCAGTAGAAGGAGCAAACCCAAGAGCCGCAAGCGTAGTCCTCAGTGTGTCGTGCCACTCACGGGGTGCCTGGCGGAGACCGTAGACTGGCCGCCGGAGGCTCCACTGGGTACCAGGAGGGAACGACCCAGTGAAGCCAGGTGGGCGGCGCAGCCAGATCTCCTCGTGCAGGCTGCCCTGTAGGAACGCAGTGCTGAAGTCAAGAGAGTGGAGCTCGTAGTCACGCTGAGCGGCGACGTGTAGCAGAACCCGAAGAGTGGTCATCTTCGGGGTCGGGGAGAAGGTCTGGAAGAAGTCAACTCCCTCTCGCTGACTGAAGCCTCGTGCAACGTAACGCGCCTTGAAGACAGGCGGAGAACCCGGCGGCCGCTTCACCCTGAAAATCCACATGCCACTGACGATGTTCGCCCCAGGTGGGGGAACCTCGTCGACGTAGGTGCCTGTGGATTTCCAGGAAGCCATCTCTGCGTCCATGGCTGTCTGCGACTGAGAGGAGTAGAGACCCTCCATCGCCTCTGCGTAGGAGCGTGGGGTCGGGATGTCTGGTGCATCCGGGTCTCCCTCAGGGGCAACTAGCATGGACACGAGATGAGGCAAAGCAGTGGCAAAGCACTCAAATTCCTCCTGTCTGTCCTCAAGGACGTCCGTGCCAAGAGCACACTCACCCCCGACGGACGGAGGACAGACAGACTCAGACTCAGCAACAAGGCTAGCGGCGTAGTCTAGACGACAGGCGGCAGCAAAGTCAACAAGCTCAGCGACTAGAGCAGACGCAGCAGAGGACTCGAAGGAAGGGTCAGTCACAACAGTGGCAAGGAGACGTGTGACAATAGGACTGGCAGCACGAAGAGAGTCAGACTCCGGGTCAGCAAGAACAGGAAGAGAGGACGCAGGAGGAGACGGCAGAGGGACACGCAGTGGAGCAGTGGAAGGACGCAGAGTCATATAGTG